TCTTTCGACATGAGGTGCGGCCTAATTGAGTTGTAATGCTTCCAACTGCCAACTTCTGTGTCATAAACAACTAAGGTCCAATGTGATTTGTGGCATATAAGAAAATGCCAGAACCTGCAACCAACTGATGCATGCATGTTGGCCTCAAGATATCGATCCCTTGTTGTTTTGCTTACATTATTCACCATACCCTATGTTTAAGATCGTTTCCAATTATGTCAACTAACATCAAACTCCCCAACACCCACATTTACAAACGTGATCTTTCCAAATACTTACCAAACAGATGCTACTGAAGAAGTACGACTTTTCTGCAAAAACCACACTCGCAAACAACACATTCTGCTTACTCACTAGAAACTCTGCAGATGCGTCAATAACCTGCCATCAGCCAAATTAACACATCAGCAAAACGCAATACAAACATAAAGTTGAGTGTGTGTAGGGGAGGGGTTTAGGCAAAACAAATATCATATTGGTTGCCATGTACATTCCCCCTTATCACAGATTGTTGTACTAAATTTTTGATGTCTGAGAAGTAAACAAATACATCCCTATTACTTCGAGTCCACACAACGGCCTTGCAAAAGTACCACCTACTAGTCAAGCTTGGATAAACATAACATATATACTATAAATGTGACACGTGACTTACTCGTCTCCGTCTCGGTCGTACGCGTTGCTAAGTTTACGTTTCACTTTTTCATTCACTAATTTCTACACAGCGAGACAATTATTCAACCCAAACCCTGACCTTTTTTTCTCATGCTCGCCAATCCCATCAATATCGATCACATCATCGCACAACATAATCTCACAATTGCCTCCACTATCACCTGCAACATGCTGCCCATCATTTGAATCCACTTTACGAAGCCGCCCATGCAACATAGGGTACTCAAATTTTGGTAACTTTCTCCTCGTTTCATTTTCCCTTTTATGTTTCGGACAAATGAATTCTGTAACGAAGTGTCAGTCCGCACCTCATCTGACAGTCCCCCAACAAGTTGTAATTCTAGTACGTCTATATCATCGTTTGCGCACTTTTCAGTGACCACATGTGCGCCCCCAACCACGTCTGCCACACCCATGGCTTCACTCCCAAATCCGCATTGCCTAACAGCATTCTGTGTCACATCGTGAATCACTTCCTCCGCATTTTTTTCATTAGCAAATGCAAATGAATCAGAATCGTTCCCTCCAACATCTGCATACAGACTTCCTCTAACGGTACAACCAGCGTTTGCTCCAATTTGCACCTCAAGCCTAATTATGGTTTTTCTCAAATCGCTGATAACATTTGCCAGCCGTGCAATTTCGCCTTCTTTCACCTTGAGGCAATCATTGAACCCAACAATCAAGTTCGACGCTTGCTGCTCAAGTGCCTTCGTTAATTTTGCAACTTGGTCCTCTAATTTGGCAATCACAAAATCTTTCGCTTTCAGCTCAGACTCTAAAACAATAATTCTTCTTTGTGCATTGTCAGTGTTAGAAGTAACGGGTATACTGTCACCACTTGGGCAACACCGTACATTGCCTTTTTTCATTTCGTCTACCCATTTGATTTACCACTTTGCTGTTGATATACCAATTGTCCGCCCACAACCACACCATCGCCAACCCTATCACCAAGCACACCACAATCACCGTTTGCATCTTTCACAGTTCCACCGAGTGCCTCACATCCCCCATTACCCACTGTATGCACATCATTCACATCAACAAAGTCGTCGTCACCCAACTCCATCTCGATACATCCCCAGGACAGTTGTGCCCTCTCATACGTCGTGATTTGTAATCTACCCCGGCTAACTTGTTTAACCATGCCATAATCACTAAATTACACACCTATGCGTTCATCAACATTTGCATTCAGTTACAATTCACACAACAACAAATGTGGGACTTAAATGGGAAAGGATTACCTGAAATGCATCACCATCTGTCAACGTCACCGTACGCATTTTCGTCAAGAAAACACTAACATTCCATTTCAAGAATCTAGGAAACACATCGGGGTTAGCACCATCCACAAACATCGTGTGCTCACACAAGAAATACTACAAAACAAACATAACAAATTCAATAAACACGTTCTAACACTACAAACAAACGCAAAGTCAACAAACCATAACGTAAATCTCAACGTCACAGATACCAGTAGTACAACGACGCATCTAGTTACTTTTTCTGGTGTACGATGGAACTCTTTAATTGATCCCATCAGTGCGCTCCGTATCGCAACAGTCCAATTGTACAGTTTCATAGAACTCAATTTGCCTATCAGTCGAATTAACGTCCAGCTCACAGATTCGCCCGACGTAGAAAAGAAAAGTTTGACACATACGTACAACGTTAACAACTTCACAGCATCTTCAACATCAAGGGGGGAAGTGCCATGAACTGTATCAAGGAACAGTGTTTTCACGAGCTTCGAACTAATACGGCTTGACCTACACCTCCGTTGAATGAAGTTGAAAGCCAGCCAGGGCCCAGATGCCATCACCAACGGCTGGTCACCACATTGCAGCCCAAATATCAATCTGACATCACTGTCCCTCAGTTACACCATGTCATTCCAATCCGAAACGACCCACTACTCGGCACATACGTTTCAATCAACTTGAATACTAAGGGGTTGTTTGGGGTGTCCTAAATAAGTGTACTTTTTGTCTTTTTGACTAAAAAGTTGAGGGAAAAAATATGAATGTTTAGGTTAACTTTTTGACTTTTTATGGAAAAATGTGTATTAAAAATTTGTATAAATTAGTGTATAAGGGAAAATTAGGATTGGGAATTGTGCAGTCATACTTTTTGACTTTTGGTGAATAGTGATAACTTTTTAACTTTTTGAGTAACTTTTTGGCTTTTTAACTTTTTTTCAACTTGCCAAACTTGGCCTAAGTCATCACATTTTCTGAAATCTTGTTGCTTCAGATCATGCTCCATAATGGCTTCAAACAATAGCCAGAATGGTGTTTTCTTCATACGGATACGGTGGGCCTCTGTCAAACCTGATGTGGACACAATCTTCACAATTCCTGCAATGTTTGACCGATAATTTTATCGTATTTTCCAACATGTTGGACTTTTCGCCACACTTCTAAGGGGTTTCACCTGTTTGAACAATATTCGTCCTTGGATCCTTGGCCCAATTTTCTTCGATGGTGAACCAGCAACAACACACAGATGAGTCCTGTCTCTTGATCTTGTCCATGGACTCGATGTCTTCACACCTTCTACAGTACAAAAACCAGACAACCATCATATTCCAGCACGACAAATGCGTAAAAATAACAATCTTGAAAAATCATCAAAATAACGTACATACACAACACAACAACAACCTACGAATGTCACACATCCAATTTTTTTCAAAATATTATGCACATGTCACCTAATGAATATTATGCATATAACACACTGATGCACCACACGAACATTACAACTACAAACGCCCCTCGCCAACAACAATGTTCACAGAGCTCATACCGAAAACACTAACAAACATAACACACCACCCACAATTGTTCCCCTACACCCCCAACCATGTAACATCACAATAGATACGTTACGCCGAAACAAACAACCACCACACCAACACCATAGCCAAACATTCATAAAAAACAAATGACAACCCCAGCCCAACAAAACAATCACCCCAAATAAACGGCAAAGCTTTCCCCGCCCCCAATGTTTCCAATACCACCAATCACCCACCCCCCACACTTATCGAAATATTGGCCACTCCAGACCAACAGTCCCACATTCAAAAACCACATCAGAACATCGCCCTAACAGTATCCCGAAAACAAACTCAAACATAGACATAACATCCCAACTATGGTTGTGTACACTGTTTTCACAAAATAAATTTCATAACACTTTTTCCCCAAAACACATTATCAAAACACATGCCAACATCGCACCAATAGTACCCCCAAAACAAAAACAAACAAGATATGACATCACAACACACACAAGCACAACACTTATTTCACAAAACGCTTTTCAGAATAGAGAAAACTTACTGTTTCGCAGAGTCCTTATCGTTTGTGGGATCCTTACAAGCACAACGCAGTGTATCATAATTGTTGCAACCATGACGGCCACACTTAAATACTAGTAAATATCTACAACTTATAAACCTAACCAAAGAAAACAAATCTATCCACAACAATTTGGGGATTTGATTTGCGTTTCGGATTTGGAGGGATTTTGGGGTATTTATTGGCGTAAATCACTCAATCGGAAAAACGGTTCTACCCAATATTTACACCGTTAAATGTGAGATCTTGTTACCCGAATTACGAAAACAATGCGATCCTCCGATTTTGGAAACAACTCCGTTTCCAAACCCTACACTACTCTCATCACGCCATGCTCCCCACCGTAGTCCTCAGTTACGGTAGAACACACTTCAGAATCAAGGCCTCAATCTTCAAAGATTCTTCGTAATGTGGGGCTTCAGAGATTGGGCTTGTGTTATGATGTGGGCCATCCAAATGTGGTTCGCACAGTTGTTGTGGGCCATCAATTTCTGTTTCATCAACTTGATGTGGTCCACCAAAGTGTGGTTTTTGCAAAATGATGGGTTGTGTTCAAATGTGGGCTTCAAAAAATGATGTGGGCCACCAACCTGTGGGTCATAAATAACGTGGATTCCCTCTACATACACTATTAAACCTAAAAAGAACTATAGTAAGCTTTTCCTAAATGTTACATACACCCACATCATTCAAACATAATATTCCCAAACCAAAAACAGTAAGCTCATGGGTAAAACTGTCCACCCCCAAATAATAAGACTTTTGAGTGTACAAAATTAAATGAGACTAATTAGATTAAAATTTTACATTTTAAGATTTATGGATTAATTCCCATTTAATTAATCATGTCATAATAAAATAATCCTGAAACCTAACACGATACACCTTAAAATTTGATTTTTCAACAAAAAAATTATAATTTTATTTTATTTTTTAAATGGATAATGTTAATCTAGAATGAACAGGGAGGAGGGGAAATGTGTCGAGTACTTGAAAAAGGGCACCGCAGGAAGACTATCTTCACTCTCTAGCTTACCTCACCATTCAAAAACTCTGGCGAAGGGAAAAACAACACCGCGATGGCACCGCACGATCTCCGCCGTCCATTCAAACGTCCGGCGATCTCCGATCAACAGAAGCGCCGTGACCTCTCTCTTCTCCGGCAGACTCAGAACCGCCACGACTCTTCGATGGTGAACTAAGCCCGCTGTTTAGCCTCCACAGTCCTCTCTCTCCAAAGCCAGGGTTCCGAACCTACGTCCGAGCCAGAAGAACCCTCCGTAGAGCTCGACCTCGTGCCCGAACCCGAGCCCGATCCTGAGCACCAAACCAGTGACCTTGATGTTCGACAGGCGGCGAAGCTCAGGGGCGCCGAAGCTCGCCGGTGGTTCGCGAGGCAGCTCATGCTTCCTGAGTGGATGATCGATGTCCCCGATCATTTGAGTCGCGATTGGTTTGTTGTCTCTCTCTCTCTCTCTATATATATATATGTGTGTGTGTGTGTGTGTGTGTGTGTAGATATTCTATACAGTGAGAAGTTTTTTTTATGAGAATGATGAATTTGTGTTTACAACGAGGCTGTGATAATCTTCGATTTGAGTAACTATGATCGGGTATGGATTAGGGTTTTGTTCGTTTTGGGGAGTTAATGTGTAACATACAATTTATCCCTGTAAGTATAGTTTGATGAGCCTATATTGCGTTAATCAAAAAACATGTTGGGTGAAACTCACTTGAAACATTGCTAACAACATTTTGAAGGGCATTCATTATTGACACACTTTTCTTTTTTTAATAATGAGACAGATTTGTTTAACACATACATAGGGCTTGTTTGATTAGTAGGATTAATAGTGAGGGGGTTGACAATCCATGAGATTACTGGATTAGTGAGATACATAATTTCCTCTTTTCGACATTTGTTTTGCAACAGAAATAGAAATATATAATCCCAATAATATGTATGTTTTGCGTCATTAGTTGTAGGATTAAAAACTTAGTCAATTTTGTTGGATAAAATGACCATTGAAATCTAAAACTTCGTCAATTTTGCGTCAATCCTATGCTATAGTCCGCCCAATCAAACAAGCCCACATATTACTGCTTTTGCAGTCCAATTCATAGGTCAAATTTAATAATTTTGAGGAACATTTAAAAAACAACCCCTTAATTCTGTTGTTGTTAGTAAAATTTCTGTGAAGGCCTAATCGACAGGAACTTAACAACAAATTCACCACACAATCAACAGAAAACCAACTGTGTAATGGTTCAATACCTTGAAGGATTCAAGGATTTCTTTGGAACAATCGACAGTTGAAGAAAAGTAGACAAAGAAAACTTCTATTGAAATCTACAAAATTTACAAATTAGGAACTGAAATTACACTGAAATAACTAAGACAAAAGATCTACTTCTATCTATGTTATGCTAAACTAGTTTGATGTGTATTGTTGTTGATTGATCCCTTTCTCTCCAAACTCTGAAGCTTTATATCACTTCCCCTTTTCCTCTAGCCACGTTTCCTTGATTTTCTCTTGAAGCTCATGCTCCCTCCAAATTTGCAAGCCACTTTTCCTTAATTTCTTTACAACTGCTCTTCTCCTTCCAAGTCTTCATTCCTCATCCTCACTTCGTTCTGAAGCAAAACCACTTTCCACTATTGCAGCCACGTGTGACCCATGATCTATCACACCACATTGACAGGCTATCCTGAAGCAAATGATCCCTGAAGCTTGCCCGCTACTTCCTTTTAATTGCTCATAACTGCCTTCAACCTAGCTTCCACCATGTTGCACAAATTCTAATGTAGAAAATAAAACCGCTGAAAATCACTGCCACGTGCCACTTGATTGAGGCTTCCTCATGCCCTGTCGACAGACAATTTGTAAACTTAGGTGCAAACAGTTGTGTATACAAATGATATTATAACTCCTTGGTGGTTATTTCATATCAGATTCTTGACACATTTAACATGGTTTTCCTTTATTGTGCAGTAGTTTACACCATTCTCTTCTTCGACAGAAATCTTATTGAATGTGACTTTTTTTAATGCAAATGAAGTAAAAAATGTGAAGAGTGAATTGCATTTTTGTAGGTATGTATTTGCGAGACCTGCAGGTAAACGATGCTTTGTTGTTTCTTCTAATGGAACAACAATTAGTAGGCTTCGGAATGGTTCTCTGTTGCACCGGTTTCCATCTGCTCTACCCAGTGGTGCCAGGGCCAAAGGCAACTCTTGTTCTGCTCAATCATATTGTATACTTGATTGTATATTTCATGAGGTAATATGTAAATATTGTTATTTTGAGGCCATAATTCTTATTGTAACTTGTGTTGTTTGTTAATTATTTTACAGCATCAGTAATGTGGTTGTGATTTGGACATTACTTGCAGTCTGATCAAACTTACTATGTAATTGACATGGTTTGCTGGGCGGGATACTCTCTCTATGAATGCGCTGCTGAGTTCAGATTTTTTTGGTTGAACAGCAAACTTGTTGAGTCAGGGGCTTGTGAGCCTCCCTCATTTTACCATAAGTACAGATTTGATGTGGTTCCTGTGTACAACTGTGACCAAGCAGGGCTACACACAGCTTATTCAGGGCCAGTACCTTATGTCAAGGATGGGCTATTGTTTTATAACAAGTAAGTCTTTCATTCAATATCATTGACATTGCGATTTTTATAATAGTATTGATTGGAAGTGTCAGTACAAATATATTCCCAGATATGCTTCCATGTTCTTAATTTTAACTTTCTAGAAACCCTAAATTGTACCTGTAAACCACTGCATTTATATAGGTTGCCGGTTTCTCTGCAGTAACCCCCATATGCATGGTGCTTGATATGAACTAAGCTACTGTTGATGTTGCCTGAGAGGGCACCTTTTGTGGTTTCCAAGGCTAGGCTTGCGTCTGCAATTAGGCAACCAGGTGCATACCTTTTAACAAAAGGAGGGAGAGCAATGGGACCTGTAGATAAGTCACACTTCGTCTGACGAACATTAGTATGAATTATAGGAGGGGGAGGAGGAGCAAGAGGAACATTAGGGGACAATGGAGGAGGGGAGGAAGACGAAGAGGGAAGATCAGAAGGAGAGAGGTTATGGACATACGAATCAAAAGGAACATTGTTAGGAAAGGGATCAAGATAAATAAGATCAGATCGAGAGACAGAAGTCGATGCAGATGGAATGAAAAAGAAAGGAATATGTTCTAAGAAGACAACATGATGAGAAACATAGAGGCGTCTAGTAAAAGGATCATAGCAACGGTAACCTTTCTGACCCTTACCAAGTTACCATACCCAAGGAAAATGCACATAGCAGAACGAGCAGGCAACTTAGTGTGTTCAACACGAGGAAAAAGGACAAAACAAGTTCAACCAAACACACGAAGAGAAGTAATTTGGCAGTTTGCCATGTAATCGTTCAAACAGACAGGTACCAATGGTCACCTGGGAGGGAATACGATTAATAAGATGAACTTTGGTAAGAATAGCGTCACCCCAAAAGGAACTAGGAACAGAAGAAGAGAGCAATAAAGAATGAGCAGTTTCCATGATATGGCGATGCTTACGTTTGGCCACACCATTCTATTTAAGTGTGTCAGTACATGAAGATTGCAGAAGAGTAGCATCAGATTGTAATATATCTGAAGAAAACTAGTATCCCGATATTCCCCACCCAAGTCACACCAAAAGTATTTAATAACAGCAGAGTGTTAGGTATGAATCATGGCACAAAAGAAGAAAAAATAGAAGAAAATTCAGGCCGACGTTTCATAAGATAAACCCAATAATGACGAGTGTAATTGTCAACAAATGACACATGGTATTTAGAACTCCCTTTAGAAGGAATAGGAGTAGGACCCTACACATCAGAATGTACAAGATCAAAAGGAGTAGAAGAAATAGTAGTATTTTTATTAAATGGTAAAGCAGTAAATTTTACAAGTTTGCAACCACTACAATCTGAAATATTTTGAGTACTACAATTTCCCAAAACACTAATCGAAACTAAATATTGTAAACGAAAGCTAGAAATGTGACTAAGGCGAGAATGCCATAAATAAAACTCAGAGGACTGCGAGCTAAGACGAAAAGAGAACAAATCAACGGAAGTTGCAACAAGTGATGGAACATGAAGCTGCTCAAGAACATATAGCCCTCCCAACCTATGGCTAGTCCCAATCTGCTGCTTGGAATGAGGATCCTACACAACACAACCAGAAGAAGAGAAGTGAACATGATAACCAAGCTCACAAAGTTGACTAACATAAATGAGATTTAGAGTCAATTGACGAATGCAATAGATGTCAGAAAGAGAGAGATAATTAGTCAAAATAGAACGCCTGCTAATGGCATGGGAGTGCTATAAGCAGTTATAATAGTAGGAGTGAAAGAAGAGAAAAGAATATAAGTAAATAAGGAGGAATCATTTGCCATGTGATGAGTAGCACCTGAGTCAAAGGCCCAAGTGGATCGAGAAATACCTGAAGACGAAGAGGGAGGCAAACCTAAAGAGGAAGAGACCGAAAGAGCATTAGGTGTAGTTGCAGAGAGTAGTTTCTGCATGGCATGAACTTGCTCCGCAAGGGAAGTCAATGAAGGGCCAAAATCTTCTATGTAGGGAACTGTAGCTGCTGTATGTGAGTTCCAACCCTTTTTCCAAGGCACCGGCGACACAGGAGCGATCATTACCCTTCTTCCAAGATGAAGATGAACCAAAATGAGAGCGTCCAGCAAGTCGAGGACACTGTGCCTTCCAATGACCTTTCTGATGACAAAAACTACATTCATCCAGTGGTGTACGAACGGAGGAGCGACTCTGATTATTAGTAGGGACAGCTAGAACAGTCTGACTTGGCAGGGAAGTAAACCTTTGCTTGGAATGCCCTTGAACCAAGTTTCTTCAGCTAACAATTCATTCACAACAGAATTAATAGTGGGAAGAGTACTACGATGAAGAATGGTACCACAGTCCCTCAAAATTAACTCGAAGTGCCTTAAGAAACTGAACCAAACGCTGCGCCTCACGATAGATACAATATTCTATACGAGTACTCAAGGCCTTAAGCTCCGTAAAGGCCAATTGATAAACAAGTTTAGAAGAAACTAACAATTGTTTATTGAGCATTAGAAAAATAAAGAATACAAAGGAGATATATATATTTAAGCTAAGTAAACCTTAAAAGTGCTAAAGACTAAACTACCCTTAATACTAAATAATAATATCAAATACATATATGCTTAACAAGCTTGTAGTTTTATGCTTATGTAGAGGATGTATTATAATTGAACTGGTGTTTCCTCAGTTTTACTAGAACCTTTGAGAACTGCAATTTGGGGCATGCCACACTTCCCTTCCTGTACACCAAATTTCTTTCGGCTGCAAAAAGTATGTGCTTATTTCTTCTCTTGTTTTGCCTTTTGGAGCACAAGATTGCAATTTATATATTAAAATGACATAAAAAATTGAGGCAAAAAAGGCAACGACAACAACATTTGAAAGATTAATGCAAATAGGACATGAGTACTGATGCACATTTTGAATTGAAAAGAAAATTGGTTTGACATAAATATATGACATTTTAATTTAATTTAATTTTTTGATTGGCAACAAATATATGACATTTTAATTTCCATGGTGCAATCTACCTATATTTGTTTTATTTATATTTCTATCCGGCTATCTGTATTCTACCACGTTCCTGGTAAGAAGCATGCTGCATCTTGTTGTTCGTATTACCTAGGATAATGTGCTAAATTTGATTTTTGGTTCTTAATACAATTGTTCTAGGCAACATGCAACAATTTAGTCAACCAATTAATACCTTCTTCAGATAGGATTGGGATAATTTCTCTGTGGTTCTTTGACTAAGTGGAGGTTTTCCATCAGTTAAAAGTATAGAGTGTAGAAGTGACTGTTGTACGTTAATTCTCTGAAGATTTGTATTCACTATGCAGGGCTTCTAACTTATTGTGTGTGACTGAGGTGGAATAATATGGGGAACATCTATGTTTAGTTATAGTTTTGATCGCGTCGATGTGTCCACGTGAATAATTTTTGTGGTCCTCTTAAGTCATTGTGATCGGGTTCAATTTGTGCTATCCGTAATGATGGAGGCAGTGTTTTAAAAGCTCTAGGCGCATTGAGGCACTAAGGTCTCCTGGAGCTTAAGTGTGCGGGCCGCACCAAAGCGAGGCGCAAGTTGTTAAAGATAACTAAAATATTAATATAGGCGAAGTTTTTAACATTAAACAAATATTCTTAGGAAATAAAAAAATAAAAAAAATAGAGAACGACATTCAATTTTTCAAAAATCATGAAAAATAACATTCAATGTTTTAAAATTTTCTCCGCAATAACATTCAATCTTACTTTGCCCTATACTGGTTATCTTTTTTTATCAATTTATTAACGTGATTCATTTTTTTTTATTATTATTATTATTTTAGATCAGGAACTCACACTCTACCTTAGTGGTTTTAATTTTAAATTGGGACCAAATTGCCTGATAGCTTTAATCATTGGCCCAAAACTATTGTAATTTACTATATTGAAAGGAATCCCAAAGCCATATATCCATCTTGTAATCCCAAAGCTTTTGCTTGATGCCTAGAGATTTTTTTGATATGAAAATTAGGACTCAAAGCATGTGTTTACATATTATATTAAAGGGGTTGTAATTCGATATGGCTACACACACAAAGAATAAGGATGGAGCAAAAATTTAAATGAAGCGCATAAGGCGTGCGCCTCGCGCCTAAGCCTAAGGTGCGCGCCTCAAATGCCTTTCCTGTTGCGCCTTGCCTCAAGCTGTCTGAGGTGCCTCAGGCGCACCTAAGCGCGCGCTTAGGCGCGCCTTTTAAAACAATGAATGGAGGTGCCTCTATATATAACTTATAATTCCTTTCTTGACCTGTTTATATTCTCATTCAATGACAAGTCTTTCTTTCTAATACTGTTGGCATTGTTTACATCTTTAGGGCACCCATTATCAAGCAAGATTAACAACAGTAACTAAGAACCATGAACACTTCAATGGAGGAGGCTTATCGTGTCGAACATGGCGCTCTATGGACACTCCTAACACTTCTTCAATTTTTCTTAATTAAAAATTTTAATTCATAATATTTGACACTTTACAGACACTTCAGTGTCACTTCTTGAACCCTTTGAAGTCCAAACTTGACTTATGTGATAAATTTCTTCATAGTAACAATTTTTTGCAGTCTTTGTAGTGCAACTTATGTACTTTAAATATGTTTTGAAACATTAATGAATACATCATGTGTATTTCAATATTTTATAGTTGTTTTGCATTCTTTATATTGCAATTGTTACTTGAATGATATCTTGATGTTTAAGTTACGAAATATATAGTTTTTAAAATTTTAATTTATATTATGTTGCTTTTTCATTGCCGTTGTGTATATATTTGACATATAATTAATTAATAGAGAGATAAAATTTTAATGTGTCCCAGACGCATGTATCGTGTCATGTACTTTTGAAAATCGACGTGTCAGCTTGTCAATATCATGTCGCATGTTTGTGTCTATGCTGCTACTCAGGGCTTCCCACTTTGCATTGGGCTGAAAGTCATTATCTTGGTTCAGTTTTTGTATTTTGTATTGTTGGTTTTTACTTCAGGAAGGCTCAAAGTAATATCCATCAATTAGTGCATCCAACTCAGATTTTTTTTTTTCCCTTCCCTTTTTCCTCCAACATATATTCAGCTCTTGCTCTACAGGACTTTCAGAAGGAAGAACCTAGTAGGTGGTTTTTGAGGTAGACATTAGACTACAATGGCAAGCCTAACTTCGTGCCTTTGTTTAGGTGTTCACCGTGGCTGCTAGACAGATTTGTTCATTTGCATTGCAGCTGTGTACACTTCTACTTGCATGCGTATAATGGTTTTTGAAGCTATTAGTTTTTTATTTTTATTTTTATATAGATTGTCACTTATATATTAGTTTGACATTAATGATTAGTAAAAATCAGCCAGGCATGGAGAACTTGAAAATCTTTGGTTGCGTTTGGTAGAGTCTTAAAATTATGGTTTGAGAATAGAGTTGTATTTTGAATTTGTGAGTTTTGGAATTATGATTTGAAAAAAGAAAATTTGTTTGGTTATGAGTTTTTAAAGGAGTTTTGAATTGAGTTTTGAATTTTTGATGTGACATATGAAATTAGAAAAGTTGTTTGATTCAAAAAATTACAACTCATAACCAAATACACAACTCAAAATTCTATTCAAAGCTCATAAAAAATTAAAAAAAATTCCGAAAATATTTTTTATTTAAAATATAAAAACAAGTGCCAATTGCCAAAAAAAAAAAAAAATACTGTTCCAGTCAACCGGTTCAACGACTAGCCGGATGTCTGAAAGGATGACCGGGTAGACGTGTTTTCAAAATTGGGTGTAGAATCAATTTTTCAAAATTCTAACCAAACACAGCACTCAAACTAAGGTGTGGAATCTCATTTCCAAAGCTCCACCAAACACAACCTTTGTTTTGACTTGGCGCTTTACAAATACTGTATCAATGATGGGAATCATGGAGAGTTACGTTTCATAGAAGGAGAACTTGATATGTTAGGGATAGTCTTGTACAGATGACATAGTTGGAATGTGATGAAGCAGTCTTTATCACAATATTCAAAACAGCATTCTCTAGGCCTCAAGTGCTCACTGTCCATATAGTATTGGAAAATTATTTGACTGGTTTGAGTGAACTAAGTATATCATTCTTTTGAATGTGAAATTTATGGGAAAAAGGTAGGAAGAATCTTCTCCAATTGTTAGTTTTAGTTTTGGAATGCATGTTCCAAAATGTGGATCAGTAGGGAGCAACATGAGATCTTTTTTGGTTATTGGGACAACTGATTCATGTAGTAGGATTGGAAAGGCAAAATAGCCCTTTTATGGCAATAGAAAGTGTTAGTATTAGTCGGATGGTTTGCATATCTACCAAACACAAGGAGTGTCCAACTTCATGTTTTCCAAGGATTAGTAACATCTGTCTTTGTTTGCTCAGATATGTCAAGGCATTGATGCTTGTCTATATCATTAATTCAAATGTTCAAAAATGCTCAGTATTTCCCTTTGCTTGCAATCAAAACCTACACCATTATGAGCTCTAACTAATTAATTTTGTTTCTCATATTTGTCTTCTTCCTAATGCATTTTGCATTGTTTTCTTCTTAGGCATGCACATTATCAAACAGGTAATACACCATTGGCATTAGTCTGGAAGGATGAGAACTGTAGTCAGTATGTTATTGATACAGACAGCAGAGGACAAGTTCCAAGTCAACAACAGGTACTCTGATGTTTCATGTCGTGCATACCCATGCTTTATTTAATTACATCATCTAATTGATTGAGTGCTTTGTATTTTGAACAATTTTTGTTGCTTTTTAGTTGCTGTAAAATGTTCTGCTTTCACATTAACTGCTTTACAGTGGGACATGAACATGAAAGGTAAGAGAAATACAAACTGAGAATACACCTTTCTGTGCGCTACATGACTCTTGATAAGCACCTCTTGTGTCAATACTTTGTGGTCCACCTGAGAACAGTTTGAATAATTTTTATTTTCAAAAGGATCATTACTGTTGTCATTTTTGTTCCTTTGTCTTGACACCCTTCTCGTAGTCAGGAAGTAGTTTTCACTCAGACTTACGATTGAATGTGTTTTCATGTTTATGCCCAAGCATCTTGGGTGTCTTACAGTTTAGCATCACTATCCGTATTTAAGATTATGATTTGTAGTCAGATTAAACTATTTCAAAGCTGTTCCATGTTGTATTTTTTGGGTATCATAAAGTTTTGTATGTACCATATTGTGTGCTTGATCAAATTGTGTAAATTACATGAACAACCTTCTCTGTCTTGAGAGAGTGATCCTTGTTGTGGATGGGAATAATAAAATATGGCCATATATTAACCTCAACATTAATCTGCATAATTTTGCAAACTCACTTGGTTTCTTCATTTTGAGTGGGGTTTTAAAATATACCTGAGTGTATTAACCGGCGGTAGTTCCACCCATGGGATTTTAATTTTGTGTATGAATATTGAGGTGAATATCTATTTCTTTTGTGCTGCTTGGTCATGTTTAGCTGCTTCTTTAGCTGATCATCTCTAAGCTAATGAAATATTGTTCTATTTAAGAATATTACTTTTACCTGCAGTTTTGTGGTTTGATTCTGGCGCAGTCTTCAAATTGACAACCACTAATTCTTTATCAAAATTATCCTTTCTTGGGAAGCCATTTTATTATGGAATTGAGATGTAATTTGGAATTGATATCGAAGTTTTCAGTGTTCTCATTTGTGACTATTGATAAACTTGTACATCTGTGTATGACAGGAATGGGAGTTGTACCCTCATTACCTGAATCCTGTCTCTGACGCTGTGTATTGTAAATCAGGTGGTTTTGGAGCTACAAGTCGATGGGAAACTAACGTCGTCAGATGATCCTCCCGTTGTATTTGGTTGTTTGGAGACTGACTTCATACAAAAGGTTTAGTCATTTTAATAAATGCATGTAGCCCACCAAGTGATTTGTGTAGTAATAATTGCTCTTAGCTAATTAAAGTAATTGCACAACTTTATTTATCAATAAGGGAGAAAAAATAATTGCACAACTTTGGTTCGTGACTAAGTGTTGGCATCACTAACCCCTACTTTTTCATTTTGTGGTTTCATGTCTCATATCGTCCAAGAACACGCGATTTTTTAAAAAAAATTATTTCGAGTCATTAATACTGGCAAATTAACTTGTCAGCAATTTTTCATGGGCATACAAAAAAAATTATTATTATTGACATGTGGGTTGGGCATGAGTGCTTGTCTGCTGTTTAGCTGGAGGAAATAAATTGCTCATAACTTTTCTTGTAACACCATTACTTTTCCTCATATATTTGGATTGTTCATTTATTTTCTTTCAATTTTCAGTCAGGACTGCAATCGGGAAATCTTTTACGTTTTGCTATTAATGATGGAGGACTGAGTTTTGGGGATGGGAAACTGGAGAAGGCTGATATGCAGTATCTTGGTAAGGTCAACTGTGCACGTGCTTTTGCAGATAGCTACTCAAAGGTTAGTGGTAAATGTAAATCCTACAATGCATTTAGTTGATTCCAGTTAATAATAATAACCCTGTCAAACTAGGAATTATATCCCCATAGAGTCTGTTTAAGAGTGCTTTTAAAGGTGGAATTTCTTTTTGGTTCCCTTGTCTCTCTGTTTCTTCTTTCTCTGAGGGTGAATTACCCATTCATCAGGATGGTGATTCATCACTTGCTTCCTGTGAGGTAGGTCATGGATTGCTTCGTTATTAGACTCTTGTAGTCTGCTTATTCCAGTGTACTGGCTCTTATTGGCCATGTTACATGGACTCGGGTACGGGTGTGTATTTAGAGGTCGGACTCATCAAATATCAAATTTAAGGGTATACAAACTCCACAAAAAAGTCATATTTTTATATTTTTAATCAATTATGTGAGATCAAATGGTACTATATGTAATGTATCAAGGTGCACCCGCACCCGCACCCGCGCCTGTACATTTCATTGTTTGGTTGCAAATTTTATTGTTCAGATTAGATTCCAATGGTCATTTTATCTAACAAAAGTGTCAAATTTTTTAATCATACGATTAATAACTTAAAACACACATATAATTGAGATTATATATTTTCATATTTATTGCAAAACAAATATGGATAAGAGGGAATCACGTATCTCACTAATCCAGCTGGATAACCATTCCTACACTAATCTCATATTTTATTAATTCCCTCACTATTAGTCCTGCTAATTAGTGAGTCCCGCTAATCAAATAGGCCCTCTGTGTATTGTGGCCCCCCATTATATATCTGGATGACTGTATGACTGCTCAGAAAATTTGTGAACATGCCTTCTATTTTTATGTTCCACCAATTTCTGCAAGGTTTGTTATTCATATAGAAACTTGTGATCTCTTAGATTGTGTTCCAGTACGCAGTTCGGCATTCACCCCTACGAGTAGAAGATCTCTTTGCGTCCATTAGCTCATTGAGTCAACAAGACAACATAACTCGTGACATGGAGATGGTTGGTTGATGACAGCTATTGACGAGAACGATTGAGGTGGTTGCTCATGCTCACTCAATGACAAACTTGATTGCCCTTGTAGCAAGATCCAAGCCGCCACCCATTGTATTTGTAGCAGTTAGAGGATTTTGGTATGAATTTAGCGGCTGGCGAATACACAAAGGGGTTTGTGTTTCTATGACCAGTAGTTCTTTTCACTTAATATTATTGTATGTATATATCAGGAGACTATATTTGGCTGAGTGATTGGGCATATTTTATATGCTTCATGAATATAATTATTTTCTGAGAGAGGGTTACTTATTATCTCTATTGTTTGTTTTTGTAACACCACATTTATGGCAATGAAGAAAGTGTGATGTATGTTTGTTTTGTTCGGTACATATTTACTTCGTTTGGGGCTTACTTTTTGATGGTATTTTTGGCTTTTTATGAGGTAGAAAAAAGTTAATGTATTCAAGAACGACTCTTTAGTTGAATCGAAAATCTTGATTTACTGAAAAGTTTTAACTTTTTGTTAGTAGTTTTTTGGTTTTTTTTAGTGACATTTTGTTTTTTGTTTTTTTTATAGTCAAAGAGTCAAATTGCCAAACATGTCAGATTCACTTGAAAGGCATAATGATCCATTTTGTTTGAGCGAACCACCTGTAAAATCGAAATCCTACTACCCAACTTTGGCCATGGCAAAATTATAGATCCAATTTAGAAAATAGAACATTTGACAGCTATGAATAATGGGGGAAAAAGTGCATATAATGAAGAATAAAAGGGGAAAACAAAGGAGGAGGGAGGGGGATAATGAAGGCAGTGCAAGTTATTTATCTTTTCCCAGTAGCGTTTATTAGGATTTATTAGGGTTTGTTTGGTAATGTTTTTGTTTACAGTCTTTTGTTTATATTTATAGAATTTTAAAAAATTAAAACAAAACTTGTTTGTTTTATTTTTCATTTTAAAAAAGTTGTAAGTAGTATAAATTTCATAAACACAAAAAGATCCCCTGGACTTAAAATGAGGCTTTTATCTCAATTTAAATAACCTTTTATGGGACAGCTGAACAAGTTTCCAACCATATATGGAGTAGAGTAATGGCTCCATGACAATAGACTTACTGTATTTTTCATTTTTTTTTTTATTGACAAAAATAAAATTGATTGATATAAAGCATATGAGTACATGAGAACTGCATCACAAATACATCAATGAAAAGCTTAAAGAGTAGGGGTGAGCATGGTCCGGATTGGACTGGATTGGAGTAAAACCATGACCAATCTGTTATCTACGGTTCCTGAAAAATTGGAACTAATCCAATCCGTTTAAATCACCAATCCATTTAAACACAGATTGGATCGGTTTAGGACCACAGATTCACATAATTAAATAACAAAAAAATATATAACACTTCAATTTCATAAAAATATAAACATAGCACTATATTAGTTCCACAATAGTAACATGTCTTTCTATAATAGCGATATACTGTTGTAGAATTTAAACAATCATAAGAAAATTGGTTTCACCATAAGTATTTAGACCATTACAAATTAAAACTAAAAACTAACAAATAAAAGTAATAAAAGAAGATACTATGTGGGTTTAGGTTTGAGTTTATGTTTTATACGGAATAAGAGAAGATACTATGCGGGAGGGTGTATCATAAAAATATATATTATTCGTATACGGTCCGGATCGGTTCCAATCCGAAACCGTGAGGTTCAATTCAGAACCAATCCGTAGACTACGGATTTTTAATTCTTCAATACGGAACCGAACCACGGATTCAAAAAATCAATCTAAACCTATTGAATTGGATTGGATTGGATTGAATTATGAATTTTACGCATTCCTTACTCAGCCCTATTAAAAAGGATGCCTACCAAACCAAACTGAAACCCACATTCCAACTAAGCAAGAAACAACTCCCAACAAACACAACAAAAACAGAACCAAAGCAAAAATAGCAACAAATTTAGTTGGCAAGAGACCAACTCTCAAAACTCCCCAAGCAGGGGGGGGGAGTGTGTGTGTGTGTTGAAACCAAAAAAAAAAAAGAACCAAAGCAAATTTGTGTTGTATTTTAGGTGTTGCGCTGGAAGATTCTAGAACTTGGATGACGAAAAGTGGAGGATTTGGTTAGGTTTAAGTTGTTCCAGTTGATGAGTGACAGCTTGACTCATGTGGGTTGTGACAAGCAATCCACTAGTGATGTGTGATTGAAGGCATGGGCACACTTTCTTTGAAATGATTTGAATGGTATGGATACATTTTGAGGATACATTTTTAGAAATCTCATATAAGTGGGATAATGTAAAAATATTTTTTTATTTTCATGAGGACCAAGTTTTTAATGCATGTGGTGCAAGTTTTTCTTATATATAGATTAGTATTAAGGCTGCGTGGGAAAACAAGTTAGGGGCTCAAGAAGTTTAAAAATGAAGAAATTGAGCATCACGTGATTCACATATGGCCATCACATGTGGTTAAATAACAATTTTGTCCCTAGAACATGTCACGTCAACAAGGACTGTTATTTGAAAAAAAAAAAGATTTTATTAACATAGGAGCAATTTGGTCATTTCTCATTCAAACATCATTTGATTCTATTTACACCACCCGTCTAACACTTTGGGGAAATTTTATTTCCACCGCCCTAATAAACTTAGTAAACACACTTAATGAAAAATTAGATTAATGACAATTATATCCTAATTAAAAATTACTATAATAGCCATTGATCAACACTCTTAATAATATATATACAAATTCTCTATACACATCTTTTAGAAATAAAAATATCTCAATATACACTTTTTGAAACAAAAAAATTAAACTATAATTTTTTTTTTTTGTAGTCACTTTGCTTCTTACACACTCTGTACTCCTCTTTGTTATTTGCAAACAAAGCATCTCCTATATTGCTTTAATCTTTAAGTTTATACTCAATTATTAACATCGTTTAATTATTAGTTCAACAATTTTTATTTGATTTTGATCAACACTCCTAATAATTTTTTTTTTTTTTTGCATTTTTTAGTCGAAAATGCAGTGCCGAATTTGTTAAATTAATTCGGTTATCAAATACCGAAAAAATATGAATAGTTCGTCATTAGAACTATTCGGTCTTAGATTTCCGAACAAAATTAATATTTTCGGCACTAAAATTCCGAATTTTGTTATTATTTTTGGTTTTTATTATCCGAATTATTTTATTTACTTCGGCTCTGTAGAACCGAATTGAAATTTTCCTTACTGAAGAACTATTCGGGCATGCACTGAAGAACCTAGGAAAGGTGGGTTGAAGTCAATTAAAGAGGGTAGTGGCGAATATTTTCAAGATATTTTTGCACTGAAGAACCTAGTCAATTCATATAATTGGGGCATCGCCTTCTTTCCTCCTGTTTGAAGAACCTAGTCAATTTATAATTTTGGGGCATCGTCTTCTTCAAGAAATAGGATGATGATGGTGAAGATATTTTTGATTTAATTCTGTTTGAACTTCTTCTTTCCTCTTGTTTGAAGTAGAATTGTAAATTGAGATAAATTGAAGTGTGTTTATTTTGAGGGTAAAGTTTGTGTACATATGAGTGAAGGATTTATTTATAATTTTAAGGATGTGAATTGAGATAATTACTTAATAATTAAATTAATAGAGATGTGTATTGAAAAAAGATTTGTCCTGAGTTTATTAGGGTGGTGGAAATAGAATTTCCCAACACTTTGCCCTCTCAAATTTTATTTTATTTTTTATAATTTATATAATTCCTTTATTATCCTCATCTCTAATCTTCATCCTTCCCAAAACCTAAATAACCCTAATCCTAGTTCTGCCTTATCACCACCATCTCCACCAACCCACAAATCAAATTGTTACAGCAACATAAACAATCTTCACTCTCCTTTTGATAGTGCTCGCTCTTGTTTTGATTCACGTTTATCAATCTTTGTATGATTGTGGGTCCACATTCCCACCCATTTTTTGAATATTGAAGTTTTGTGCTGAGATTTGATTGATGTTCATGCTTGTGAACCCTCATAATGAAAAATTGTGACTGCCCAGAAAGCAAATTGGGCCAAAAAAAATGGCGTCTTTAATGGGTTTTGTGTTGTTCGCGCTCTAAATACATGAAATGGTTCTTATTCTAGCTCCTCTAGATTGTTAGTTTTGATAGAAGGGTCTACAGTGATGCTTCTGGGCATAGTATGATTGCTTGTGCTTGTATGGCGCTCCAGCAGAACTTGAGGGCAGTAGATGGATTTTCCACCTCCAAATTCAATGTATTTTACATATTGTATGGGCGAAGTGGAGAAGGGCTAGGTAGAAGCGAAGGGTGGTGGAGTGGTGGCGGAGGAGTAGCGGCGCCGGTGGAGGTGGTGGTGATGGGGGAGAACTAGGGTTGGGGTTTTGTAGGTTTTGGGTGTAAAGAGAATGAGAAGGAGAAAGGTTAAAAATAAGGGTAATAAATGAATTGTATAAATTATAAAAATAAAAAATAAAAAATAAAAAAAATAAAAAAGGGTGTAAAGAGTTAGCTTGGTAGTGTAAGTAGAATCACTCATTTCAATACAACAATCAACCAAAAAATCTAATTTATCTTCTCAAATATAAAAACTAAAATAGTTTATTAAAATAGTCAAATAACCAAAAAGTCCCACCAAAAAGTCCCTTCCCAAACACAACCTAAGAAAGATTCCATTTTTAGTGTAATTATTCTTTCACTGTCCTACTAAAATGCAATTACTCCTTTGTTTTTTGGGTAAAACATACTAATCATTATTGAGGTTTGAAGAAAGTCTATCGAGTCTCGCTAGTTTAACAAAATTCCACTGAAATTTCTTAAAATTTTAGTTTACATAATATTTAATTCCTTTTGTATAAATAAAAAAATAATATTATCATATATTTTATAATGAACCGTATACTCTTATGTCTACAAAGCATTTGTGTTAGTTCAAGTTACTTTTTAAGTTATTAAAAGGAAAGTCAACGTAATTATGTCTAACTAATATGGCTTATTTTTGTATTGTTCTAAATATTAGAGATAGTCAATATCATTTAGGAAAATTCTATTTCCATACACCTACTTATCTCAATGCACATCATTTCTTAGTGCACATACTTATTAATTTTGTTTTTGGTTATTCTTCTCATTTCACACACTTGATGTTCCAATTATAACCTAACTTTTATCCTTATACACACGCTACCTAAACCCTCCTTCCACACACCTTTATCCCTTTAACCAATATATATTTTGATTTATTTTTTGTTCTTCTAACTGGTTTATTTATTTATTTAAATTTTTTTATTTTGTGCAATTAATTAGGAACTTTGTGATGTCTAAATAATACATGAAGGAGAAGAGTGAAAAAAAAAGGGAGAGAAACT